GATTAATATGTATCAAAAATTTCAATTTTTTAAAAAATGTCTCAGAACCCCATTTTCCTAGCAAACTTCCCATATATTAATATTTTTATTAAAAATTAACCTTTTTTGGATTTGAATAACATTAGAGCATTCACCTAACTTTATAAGTTTTGCAATATTTTTATTATAATGTTCTATAAGAATTCTAAGGTAATATGATTTTGGAATAATATCATGATTATCAGTTTTTTCTTTCCTTTGTTTGATTTTTATTACAGAAGAATAGTTAATATTTTTATGAAAAATAAATGAATATTCTTCTGAAGGAGGTAATAATATGTTCTCTTTGATAATATGGTATTGCCTTTATTATAAAACAAAAAAATTCTGTGGGAAAATAATACAAAATAATTACAAATTAGGATTATTTATATTTATTAAGACACGTTCTATAAACATTAGTTGATAATTTTAATTTTAGTATCATAAATATTATTTCAAAAAAAAATATAACTTAAAGTTTTATAAAAAGCCAAAATTAAATGCTGATCAAAGTTAAAAAACTATAATTAATATAATATAATATAGAAAAACTAAAAATATTAGAAATTTGTAAAACTTTTAAAATTAATATAATAAAAAATAATAATAAAAATAAAGTTTTATTTTTTGTAAACTATTTTATAATAAATAAATTATTAATTAAAAAAATTTAGAATTTATACTTTTTTATTACAAAAAAATATATCTTTATTAAAACAATTTAAAAATAAAAATATATAAATATTTTCTTTTTATTTAACTTTAAAATATATAACTTTTTTTATAAAAGTAATATTATAAAAGATAAAATAAATGAGAAATAAATATAATTTTTTTATAGCTTTATTTATATTTTTAAAAATATATTAAAAATTATAAAATATGCTTATTATTATTATTATTATTAATTAATTAATTATTATATATAAAATATTAAAGAAAATAAAAGTATTATAATTTTAAAATTTTATTTTTATTTATATTAATATTAAACTAAAAGTATTTATATAATTTACTATAAAGTTCTAAAAATAAGCATTCTCTAATTTCTATATTATCCAAAATAAGCATCTACAAAAATTCTGTAAAAAAAATTGATTAATTTTACTAATGTATTAAAAATAAAGTATTTATCAATCATTTTATATTATAAAATGACTTTTTTAATTATTAAAATATGTATAAAATTCTTTATATTTTTATTAATAATTCTAATACTATATTAGATCATTTATTATTACTTTTATTATAAATATAATCATCACAAATATCATTATAAATATCACTTTTATCATAAAAATCATTATCATAATATAACTACTATCATTATCATAAATACTATCATCAATATCCAAAATTTCTAATTTCTTAACTTCATTATTTAAATCATCTAATGAATCTGTTATATCACAATTTACAAAAGAATTGATGATGTTTTCATTAGATATATTATAAATATTTTATTTAATTACAAATATCACTATACTTAGCACATTTAAGATTTACTATTACAATTTCTCTAGTATCACTATCTGCTATTTATAAATGCTATTCTTTATAAATAATATTCTTAAATAGTTTATTAATACTAATATCAAGTAATTTGCAGACACTAGTTAAATAACCTAAAATAATCGTTAAATCAACATTATTATTATAAACTTTATTTTAACAGATTTCTTTAGATATTTTCTAAAAAAATTGTAAATAAGCATAGTTAGAGCTTTTAGATCAATTATCATTAAAATAATCAATATATTTTATCATTAATTTAGTATTTATCTAACCATTTACTTAAAATCAACCCACTATACCAAATGGAACTTATTCATTACATCCTATTTTTTTTCTATTGAAAATACATATTGTTAAAAGCTTAGTTCTATTTGTATAATAAAAAAATATTAAAAATGGATCTATAAAATCATAAATTCTGATTTGAAATAGAATCTAAAAAAAATTAATATTCTTACTAGCTGCATAAGTTAAAACAACGGTAAAATAATTTTTTTATTACTTGTTCCTCTAATATGAACAGTTTTTTCACCTATTTGATTTATACTAAAATTACTGACTATTAGGATTATGCAATTCGATTTAATATTTAAATATTCAATTTGATTTAATTAAATTCAAATCAAAGAATGTTTATTTAATTAAATCTAAATTAATGCTTGATTCAATTTGATTAAATTTAAATCAAGTATTCAAATATTTGATTTGATTTGAATTAATAATAAAGCTATCTCAAAAGCTTCAGCAGTAGCTTTTACTAAAAAAACCATAATAAAAAATACTTTTGCGGCTTTTAAAATGCTTTTTTTATTAAGAAAACTATAGCAAAAAATACTTTTGCAACTTTGGAGATGTTAATTTACTAAAAAACATAGTAAAAAATGCATTTGTGATTTCAGAGACATTATTTTATCAAGATATATAGTAAAAAATACTTCTGTAGCTTCAGAGACATTATTTTATTAAGAAAAAATAGTAAAAAAAATGTTTTCACAGCTTCAAAGATATTTTTTACTAAGAAACCTAATAAAAAAATACATTCATAGCTTCAGAAAAATTTTTTACTAATAAAATAGTTTCAAAGCTATGATAGTAGTTATTACTAAGTTTTCTTAGTAAAACTGAGACTATAAAGTTATTTTACTAAGTTTTTTTAGTAAAACTGAAGCCACAAGTTGTTTATTAAGTTTTAATAGTAAAAATTCACCTGTTACTAAACTTACTCTATAAAAGCTATCTTTGAAATTTTTTAGTGTAATTACTAATAATTTTCTTAATTAAAACTTTAGAATAACTTTATTTTAATATATCATTATAAAATTTAAAAAAAAATTATATTCAATTCAATTCAATTCAATCAAATATTTGATTTGATTTGATTCAATTTGATAAATGTAGTCGAATAAAATATCGAAATCATATACTATATATATAGTATATGATTTCGATATTTTATTCGACTTATCCTAGATTATATGATCATATTTTCTTGAGGATATCTGATTATATTGTTATATTTCTTTATACTTATCCTAGACTATATGATTATATTTTATTGATGATAATAGAATGTATTATTATATTTTCTTGGGTTATAATCTAGGTGCTGGTCGCGGATGCCGAAGGATAATAAATTATTTCTGTTCAGGGTACTGGGCGTTAATACTTTATTTATGAAATAAATCATTGCTGGATTCTGGCTTTACATAAAAATATTACTATATAGAAAGGTTTAGAATTCTACGATAATATGAATTTTATCACTCGGGATTCGGATCAAGATTTGTAAAGAAAGGTGCCTATCAATTTCTTATCATAGTCCTTAACTCGTCAAATGTTTCGTTTGTGGCATTTTCTCTGGGAAAGTTTTTGCCGAAATTATCTAAATTCTACTGTACCTTAAGTTCTGAATACTTTCTTGTCTCTTTCTTGCATCTTTCTCGTACTTTACTAAGCCTTTCTTTTGTGATTTGCTGTTTAAGTTTGTATAAGGGAGAGGTTCTTCCATTTTTTATATAATAATTCTGAAGTTACTCCTTCCCCTTCATTTTTCAGATACAGCTTGATATGTCTCTTTTTGGTCCTATAATTTCTTATTTTCTTTTCTATATATTATCTATCTTTGCGTCCTACCAAAAGTCTTTTGGGCCATTACTATATCGATCTTTCATACTCTTTTTCTTGTATTCTCCTGAACCTTTCTGCCTTCCCGACCTCTTTCCTGCCTATCATCGGTAGGACGCAAAAGCATAATTTTTTATTTTCTTTCCTATATATAATTCTACCTTTACGTCTACCAAATTTATACCCTAGTTTTCGCTCCTGCTTTTCTAGAACTCTTTCTCATATAGTTGATACTTCTAGGGTACCCCTATACCTGATACTTTGGGTCATATCAGATAATAAAATTTGTGTTCCAGTTGCGCAAGATGAAAAAAATTATTGAGCTATTGTATACCGAATCATCACGTATCGTATGTAGTAACTCAAAAAAATCAGATGATGAGGTTAAGTTATGGAGAGAAACATTGGATAGGGCAAGTTATATCAGTGCATTATGTAGACCAGTTAGCAATCAATTTGGTGTTGTAGGAATTCAGATCGCAGGTACAACTATGTATCTAAATATTCTTGTGAAGGATTTGGCATTTTAATAGATAGTTTTCAGATTCTATTGTAAATTCGAAACGCTTCAGAATAATTATTTTTTACGTATTTTCAATATTAGAGCATTACCAAAGTAAGGCATGATCTTTCTGCTATATTGTTAGAAGATATATATGTTAATTTTTTTGTCAGCCATCCTCTCTGTCCGTAGTGAAATTTTTCAGGAGGGACTTCAGGGGGGACGGGTTTGCTATCTTTCTTGAGATTATTAGGCTATTTTATTTCTTTCTTGATTAGTGTCCCTACTGTCCGTAGTAAAAAGTAGTAAATTCTAGAAAAAAAAAATCGTAATTTCCTATGGTATATATGATATATATGTATGGTATATATATGATATATGTGTATGGTTTATATTTGTATATAGTATTTATGTATACCTATAGGTAAAAAAAATAAAAAAAGATAAGAGTTTCGATTTTTACTAGGGTGAGTAAGGACAGGGGGGACGTGTATCCTAGAAGGCTTCCTAGAAATCTAAAAGCATTAAAACTGATAATATAGTTGTCCTTTCTGATCATCCTCAGAAAAATTTCACTACGGACAAAGGGGACAAGTTTCTAAGGCCAACACTCTATTACATCGGGTATTTTTATCCTATCAAGAGTCTGACTCATTGCCTCTGGGGTCTGACAGTTCTGAAACATCTTATCCAACTTTTTTCGATGATAATATGCGTTCGAATGGTACTTTTTTACATGCCAATCACAAAATCCATATTCAGAAGCTGTCGGTCTTTCACACCCATCTTGTTTGCATAAAGGTCGCTGGCGTCTTTTTCAGTGAATGCAACACCCTTCTTGTTTCCTACTTCCCCGCCCACAAACCTCCCCTTCATTGAAATGATACTGGCAAATGTATTTACCGCCCATTAATATTATTCTTAGATAAATAACACTTTGATATCTATAATTATTTATTTTTATTTTAAACTTTTTTACTAGGGTATTATACTGTTTCAGTATACTAGATAACATAACTAAAAAATTTTATCATGACCTAATCTGAGCTTTCAGAGTTCCTCTCCGATGCCCCCGCCCTTTTTCACCCAGAGGCTGAAAAAGATAAAAATGCTAAAATAATTCGTTATTCTGATGAGAATTACTTGGTGGGTGTCCCATCTCGTGATGAATTGGCTAGTAGAAATGATGAGGGTTCGACTTCAATTCTCAAAGATGAGATAGCAAATCATCAAGATATTCCATTCATGCTGGTCAACATAGAAGAATCCAAAGAGTATATCTATGGTACCCTCACTATATTCTTCGCCTCTATAGGTATCTTGTTAATGGTCAAAAAGCGGTTGTAACTATTACCGGTATCAAGGTATTTTTCAATATTCGTGTTTCTAACAATACGAGCATTCCCAAATTCTAGTCTAAAATAAAAGGTATTCTTGCTACTGGGAAAGATGGTAATGGGAACACTGTTAACATGAATCTAATCCAAATGGAATGTATAAAGGCATATCCTATCCGTGGTTATCATGCGGAAAAAAAGTTATATTTCTGTATTATTACACCCAATAAAGATCTAAGATTCACTGCTCTCGATATCATCTCAAGCTATAATTCAAATGTTGATCCCGAATGTAAAATAGAAACAGCTTCAGACGATATAAGCACATATTATCGTAAAGTTGCAAGAGAGTATAAGATACCACTTTCTGGGTGGGGCTTAGTGAGCAATTATAGATATAATTTCAGCGCACCTTATTATGCGAAATCCCAACATTGTCCACATGTATTTTATGTCCACATTGATAACTTTCGTCTCATAGATAATTTCGAACCACTTTACAAAATCTATCCATCTTCTTTCTTTGCCCACGATCGAGCACTGATACTAACGTGAGACATAAAAACATACGATTCACGTAGGTTGGGGAACTTCCCAGAAGCGAAAAATGACACATCCCAGGTTTTTACGATTTGTATGACTCTACACTGGAAAGACGACCTGAAACCACTAGAACAGATATGTCTTGTCAACGTTGAGACGGCACCAAACCCAGACTGGATTACTATTAAATGTAGAAACCAAGCCAATGTATTAAAAGCTTTCGCTTTATGCTGGAAATCTTTTGCTCCAGACATCCAGCTCAGTTTTAATGACTCTGGTTATAATTGGCCCTTCATCATAGAAAAAGCCACCAAGTTAAATGTTTTCGACTGGATGGTCCAACAAATGTCAGCAATTCCATATAAGACTGCCAATACTCAATCTACTCTCACTTACAATTATTTTGGTGGAACTGGGGAGCCACTAAGTAGGTGTTACTTCCATAGGGACCAATGGGCGAAGAAAACGAACAGGAATTTCAGAAAAACAGAAGGTCGCGAATCTATTAATATCAAATTTGGTTCCAATAGTTTGAGCTTCGAATCATCCTTTCTTAAGCTCCCCGGATGTGTACCAATCGACGTTTGTGCGAGTTTGTTGCAACTCTTC